CTTTGATCCTACTATAAGATGCTGCTCTATCTTACAGTAGGCTCGGGGACTAAGTGTGTACACTTCACCTAGCAGTGAGTGTATTGTTTTTCCTCTTACTGGTCTTCCGCTAAGCTAGGGGTTGGCTGTGTGCTCGGCTAAGCTAGGACTCAGTTATTCTGATTAACTGATCATTGTACTTCTTTGATCCTGACACCAGGTGCATTCTTCACCTACTGTCAGGCTCGGGGACTACAATGTATACATTGCACCTTGCGGTGCTTGTATCACATTTAACGGTTCGCTAAGTTCCCGTTTTCTTTCTCAGACGTTGATATTCTTTGATCCTGACACCAGGTGTCTTCTTCACCTACTGTCAGGCTCGGGGACTACAATATATACATTGCACCTTGCGGCGCATGTATCAATACTAACATCCTCTTTGACTAAGTCATGGATGATGATCATTTGACTTCGCCAATGGAGCCTAAGTGTGTACACTTCACCTAAGGTGGAGAATTTTTTAAAATTTAAACTTGAGCTAAAGCCTTACTTGAGTATGTTTGAGGCCTGTTAACCAGTTAAATTGGTCGGCACTTCATTTTGTTGATCGGATTACCAGTCAAACTGGTCGGCACTTTATTTTGTTGATTGGATTACCAGTTAAACTGGTCAAATTGCTAGATTAACTATCTGACTCTAAGTTAAACTGCTCGGACCTGCTCAAGACAGCGTTGCTCAGCAGATACAAGGCGCTCGGGGACTAGCTAAGGGGGGGTATAACCCTAGGTACCCATGGCAATGGACATGGGCCGCACTACCAGGGGAGGTCCAGCCCATAAGATCAAGGCCTACGGTGCTCGGCTCTGGTCGGCGTGCACCGTAAGGCAATCAGAAGACATCTTGGCGATGAAGGAAAATCTGTTCGGATATGATAGATATCGTATTCCTTGTAAATACTTACCATATAGCAGAATAGATCTAAATCTAAACTGACCTGTAACCCTACCCTCCAGACTATATAAGGCGGGTAGGGACCCCCTCGAATGCATCTCATATTCAATACAATCCACCAAAAACACAGGACGTAGGGTATTTCATCGATCAAATGGCCTGAACCTGTCTAAATCGCTTGTCTCTACGCTTGTGTCACCATCCGGCTCCTATTACGCGCACCTCCACCGATTCATCTACTACTATGGGCATACCCCTCAGTAGACTGCCGACCATATTTCGTCGACATACCACTACCACGATCGCTAATACTTCCACTGCAACGGGAGCCGGCAGCGGCGGAGCACCGCCGTACGAGGAGCACATGATCTGATGTGACACGGGAGTCAGGACCAGGAGGCAGCTCATGATGTGAGATTGAGACGGGAGCGGCGCGCCGCATATTATAGCTAAATAACATAGTGTAGCTATTTACCTAGAGGCAATTTTTTCTTGCCCTTACTTAATGGCATGTGCTCCCAGCACATCCACCGTTGGATTCGCATTGAGATATGTGTGTTGGCGGTCCTTAACTCACAATTTTAACCGCCAACATTAGTATAAAATTCACTCAAATGAAAAACCAAATCTAGTAATAGTGCTTTAAACTAATGATTTCCATAGGTTTTGGTGAGTTGTGCATTTATAGGACACATACATGGAATACATATGGAAAACAATCAAAATGCGCAAACAGAGAAAGCGTAACACAAATCCACTCAAGCAAATAGAAGGAAGGCCCACTTACCTTGCAAACTTGGGCCGAACACCGACGTGGCTACACTCCAGGCCCATCAAGTAAACCACCAAGCGAAGGAGGTGCCGAGGTGGCCCAACCAGGGGCACCCCTCAGGCCCACCTTCGGCAGGGCAGTAACATTAATGCTCCTGAGGTCGGTTGCGGTGGGGCTTTTCTAAAATACCTCAGCAAACCATCCTACTTGAGCTATAAAAGGAGGAGGCCACCCTCTCACATTTCATTCATCAATCATCAACACATAGGAGACACAATGTAGCAAGAAAAGAGAAGAGCTCCATTCACATCTTAGCTCTCTAGCTAGTCCTCGTGTAGGGAGTGAGTGAGTAAGAGTGGAGAAGTACCGGAGTTGTCGGCTACCTCCATTTGTGTACTTGGGGCCCCTTGTACACTTAATGGAAGGAATGCCAGGAATCGTCGGCTCCTCTCCACTTCTACCTCTACGTTCCGAATACTACTTGGAGTATAAGGTTCGTGTTTATCTTTGATGGTGAGTTCTACTTTAAGTTAGTCTTGTCCGCTATTTACTTGCGGGTTTGTCGTCCGTCCCTGTGGCGGATACTCTAGTAGAGGGCTCCTGATAAAGACGGATAACCCTGTATGGCGCTAGAGTAGTAGTCGATAGCATAGACGTGGTGTCTAGGCTAGAGGCTACCTTCGTTTGCCTCGTTTCATACGATTAAGAGGTAGGCGGCAGGTGGTGACAGCCCTGTCCGTCCCTTGTAATCCCCCACGTTCAGGTTCGACATAGAGCTGGAAGCCGGAGGTACTTGGCAGACCAAGTATAAGCCGGTGCCCGAAGCAAGTCGCTAGTGGCAAAGCTATCTTAGCTTAAGATTTCTATCCTTAGAAAACCTCGCTACTCGAGCTATCTTTCTTCTTGTTATCTTAGGTGAACTATTTAAGAGACTTTTACACATCCGTCCCCTGTGGAAATATGATACCCTGAATACTTCCGGGTGAAATGCTACAACGGTAATTCCATGCGCTTATGGATTATTTCTGTATGCGTTAAGAAATACCAACAGTGTGCATAGCAGATTAGCATTGCACACATCTTAATGGGAATCCAACAGCGCAGTGCATAGGGGCATATGCCCTTAAGGGCACATTTAACTTTACCCTGTTTAGCTTCTTTTCTTAGTCTGTAACGCTGTTGTATGTTTCATGGAAATCTTAAACTCTTATAAAGCAAAACCTCACTTACCTATTTTTCTCATTCCACAGCCCTCCACGTTATCGTTCCCTATGTCATACCACAGCGTTCCACGTCATCAAATGATCTGAACCATCTGATTTTAGTTGGCAATATCTGCCCCTTCGTTTGTCGTCTGGCCTCTCCATCTCCTGTGGACCTCCAAGCCAAAGTGGAAGTAATTAGCCATGCACTTTCTTTGTCAGTTACTAGACTCCTTAGTTCCTTGCAACAGCAAGCATTTCAATTCAACCGAGGAGTCCAGAAGCAAGCAATTCATCTCCTCTCCCATGGAACGGCAACAGCGGCCATTAAGCATGCACTAGTCTCTGTGAGAACCCGTTGCCTGATCACATCCAGTAACCGGTGATGGCCTATTTATCACCAATAGCCAAAGAGAATCACACAGGTCCTCAACAAAGGCTGCTAATGTCTGACGTGATCGTCTCCCTTAGTCTCTTCACCGTCATTTCGAGCGCTCACCTCATCATCGCACACCGCAGCCACATTTCAGGGCAGCTGTTCGCATGGTCCTCTGTTCCCAATATATTGATTAGGGCCGTTCTTAATCATATCTCAGAAGTCTCTACGAAGTTGGTCAGTGATGGCCTTCTTCTTCATTATCAGGAATTCAGTATATCCACCACGGTAAGCTTTATGCCTTTATTGAGATATCCTATCTTTCTTGCATGTACCATCCCTCCGTGGTTCTATATATGCAGGAAAATGTGAACTGTGATTCTGTGAATAAAATCCTGTGCACAGTGCAGTAGTACCCAATCTGCAAGCACGATTGAAGCAAATTGGAAGTGTTATGCCATTTCCCTTATGTATATTAGGCAGATTATGAAGTGAGACTATATATTATTTTTTTGTATTGGATTTATTTTTCTTATGTAACTTTCTTCTTTATAAGTTTTTTTTTTGAGAAGATGCATGAGCTATAGTACGTTGAAGATTTCACATTACATATTCGTCATGCAAATACCCAATATCAATAGAGTACCTACTCAATTATATAATAAAGAAGAAGCAACGATTCGTTGTAGAATTGGAGTCTTCAAGGACAATGTCAAAATATATGAGACAAAATCCCTACTGTTTAAGGTATTATATTCAACAAATGTACTAAATCCTCTTAAATGCATGCCTGGAACCCGAAGAATATACTTGATTTTTGTTTATCGATATGTTATGTTAAATATCAAATTGGCCCTAGAACTAAGCAAAATAAATCTACATGTCAATGTGTTTTGGATTCTACAGGCTATAGTAAAAATTTTTAAGGTAACGTAGACTTTTCTACTTTACATTTCTTGAAGACTTCTAAAGACTAATCTAACTCATTAGTCTTTGCAACCTTCGCACCCAAATTTCACCAATAAATACCGTAGCAACGCGCAGGGAATCCCTCTAGTAAATAACCCTCTCCGCGTCTTTCTTTGTTGCTCCACCTCTGACGCGCGATCAAGATCGATTGGAAGGAGGGTGTACTTGTCGACTCACCGCAAGGTGGACGTCTGCTTCGCCTCCCCCTCGTCGGCGCCGCGCGCCTCCGCGGCGTCGACGCGGGTGCGGGCGCTGGACGTCGCGAAGGCGTTGTCGGGCGACGAGCGGCGGCAGGGGTCCCCAGACAGCCACCACCGGAGGAGGTTCGCCGAGGTACGCGCGTACGGATGCTCATTCGGCTTCTAATAAGGATGTGTTTGATTTCAGTATAAGATTTCCGAGTACAAGCAGTCACCCCGATGATCCTTGGATTACCCGGAAGCGCACATATTCCATCTGTTCAGCATAAAGCCATAAAGGCGTGCTTTGCACCGATACGGGATACGAATACGCCGATACGGATACGGCGATACTTTATTTTTCAAAATAAAAAATACGCCGATACGGCAAGTATATATATTATAAATAATAAATATTACTAATATGTGTATGTATCATTAATAGTAGTAGAAAACAACAAATAAAAACTAGCAAAGCTGGTCATACAAACTAATGTTTAAGGGTGTGTATGCCAGTTGATTTCATGCAGCAGGAATTTTTATACAAAGAGGTCCAAAGCCTGTTGATTTCATAATGCGAAGAGCGTCTTGGCGTCCTTGTGCATGGACCTGACGATGGCCGTGACCTGCTCCACCTGGCGCTCGTCGGAGCACGCGGCGAGCAGCACCTTGGCCGTGCCGGCGTCCGGGTAGCACCCGGCGTCCACCATCTCCTCGAAGATCTCCAGGCACCGCCCGTACTCCTTCTTCCTCGCGTACGCGCCGATGCGGGACGTCCACGTCACCACGTCGGCGGCGAGCCCCCGGGCCTCCAGGACGCGGAACGCCGCCTCCATCAGGTCCAGGTACCCCGCGCGCCCGTACACGTTCACCAGCACGTTGTACGTGCTGGTGTCCGGGGCGGCGCCGGCGTCATCGCCGCCCCGCTCCATGGCCGCGAGGAGGCGCTCCATGTCGTCGAGCCGCCCTGCCCGGCCGTATGCGTTGAGCATGGCGTTGAGCGCGAAGGTGTCCGGGCGCAGCCCCGACTTGTGCAGCTGCGCCATCACCTCCTCGCACCTCGCCACGTTGCCGGACTTGGCGTGCGCGGACAGGAGCAGCATGTGCGACTTCATGGTCGGGCGCATGCCCTGCTGCTTCAGCTCTTGGAACGCTGCTTCTGCCTCTGAACGTACAATCACAAAAAACATCAGCAAATTGAATTCAGCATTGTTCTTGAGTTCACTGGCCAAATTAACAGGATGAAGCTTGCTGACCTACCTTGATGGAGACCAGCTCTTCCATAAGCATCCACCAATATGTTGTAGGAGGCTCTGTCAGGCTCACACCCCATGTGTTCCATCAGAGAGAAGATCTCCGATGCCCCTTGCGGCAACCCTGCGCGGCTGTCATGTGATGCACCAATAAACTGATGAAATGGCATTGCTTCACACCAAATTGAAAGGTTTGCTACAAAAATGAGCAGGGGTCGGGCTCATGGTATTGGAATTTTTTTCTTGTACCTGTAAGCTTCCATCAGGGCATTGTAGGTATACACGTCAGGTTCATGCCCAGCCTGCTGCATCTCCTCAAACACCTCCTCTGCCTTCTCACAAAGGCCTTCCCGCGCGAACGCGTTCACCAGCGCAGTGTAGGTGCAGATGTTGGGCTTGCATCCAATCGTTTTCATCTCGTTGAACACTTTCAGCGATGACATCGGTTGCTTTGCCTGCCAAAGGATGAGCTTACATTCAGCTGATCCCTGCACATTCAGCTGTGTACCATCCCCAGATGGTAGAGGCTGGAACTTGGTTCCCTTATTAAAAAAAAAAACTGATCCCTGCACATTAAAGATTAAACCAGGAAAAATGCCTTACCTTCCCATATACGTTGATCATCAGGGTGTACGTCTCGGTGTTAGTTCTGCAGCGCTCCTTCTTCATCCTTTGATACACTTCGACCGCCTTTTCGGAACATCTTGCCTTCAGTAGACCGTCCAGGTATGCGTTATACACAGTTGCAGCTGCGAGAGAGTTCTTGGTATGATTTTTTTTTTTCTTTCATCCTAAACTGACAAGCATTTTCATCTCATGATAGAGAGAGGAATACAAGGAGGTGTGCATACTTGGAGGGAGCCCATTCTTCTGCATTTCTGAAATCACGCCCTCGGCTCGGTGCAACTGCCCAGAATTGCAGTAAGCGCGCAATAGAAGAGCGTAAGTGTCCTCTGTCGGAACGCAGTGAGTCTCCAGAAGAGCCATGTAAATCGATTCTGCCTTGTTCAGCTGACGCTTCTGACCATATGCATCTATGAGCAGGTTGTAGCAGATTATGTCGGGACGGAACGAACTCCGGTACAGGATCCACTCACAGACCTATAGGCACTCTTGACAAATCAAACATCAAAAACCTTATGAATCAAAGCAGCACCAAGAGAAGCAACAAAAGCTAGAATTTTTGCTCTTGCAATTTTCACATGGTATGATCAGCCAAGGTTGAGATGCAATCAGCAAGTGGGGGACTAGGACTTACTGTGATGATCGGCTCCCATTGTCGGTTCAGGCGGAGCTGGACTGCAACATTGACAATGTCATCCCAAAGATCGTGTGCTTGAGGAATGTTGTCTAGTGATTCCCAGATATTGTTGACGTCGGTCCCCTTCTGCACAAATTCTAGGATATCCTGTGCCATTGGACTCAACACTGGGAACACTCCATCAACAAACCCAGAGCCATACTTCCAACCACGGCCTTTTATAGCACCCCCTGCATGTCCAAGCCATATCATTCAGAGCTAAAACCTATGCCATGTCTTTGAACTTCCAACGAAACAGTAAATCCAAAAATAATAGTGGTCTAAGAATTCTTGATTTGCAGCATTCAATGAAACTAAAAGGAGTGGCAGCACTGTCATTTACCCCTCTTTCTAGATATTTTCTTTCGATCGAAGGTTCTTGCCACGCCATCTTTGTCAATGTAAGCGCCGTCCCTTTTCCTGTTCTTCCTCTCACTATGGCGGTAGGAATTTACTTCTGCATCATGCAAGGAAGTTTCTTGCAAGACGTTTCTGCAGGCACATAATTTCCATCTCGGCCTTGCAATTGGGTAATACGTATGAGCCTCAACACTTAGCCTGCAAAACGGTGGACAAAGCCATGTCAGCGTATTCATAGAAACAGTGCTGTTTCAGAACTTCTACTCAAGACATGCGCAATCAAACAGTTACTAGTAACCAAAGTATTATCCAGTTAAACATCAGTACCATAAAATCGAATCCCCAATTCACAAATACCCACAAATTTACCTAAATCAGGCAAAGTTGCTTGAACTTAGGATCGGGAGAGGTAAAGTCGGACGTACATGAGCACAGGGTGGGTGACGAAGGCCGCTGCTGCTCTCGATAGGCAACGAGTGTGCAGACCTGGTAAACAGCCAGGAAAAATATCACTGAGCTTTCATGCTTTTGCTTGAGCTGTGGCTGTTTTGGAGAGGATGGGAAGCTGTGAACGGCAGGAGCTGCGAGCAGAGCAAGCTGAAATATCTCTCCCTCCATCTTGCTTTTGGCTCGTTCTATCCAGTGTTGTGTTCTGGGCCTCCTGTGACCTATCAATCAGGACCTCTTATCCAAAAAGACAACCAACATGACCTCTGCACCGGCAACTTTTAGTGACTGAACTTTCGTTCAAAAAAAAAAAAATCTTTTAGTGACTGGACTAACATGTGCAGTTTTGGTTGGCTAATCTTCTGATTATCACAGTGTGCATCAGTAATATATATCTCAAATGCAGTTATGCAAAGCTTATTGAGACGCAATTTTTAATGCCATGCAAGCATGTGCTGTTTATCTGTAACCACAAGCAGACAATTTTCCAGTGCATGGTATCTTAAAGAAGAGTAGCAGTCTAGCAGGCCAAAGCAGCTCACAAGGAACCATTCTGTTAGATGTAGAAATGAACGCAGAAGCCGTGGCTCTTTCAGAATCTCAATTTCCGATACATGTAATAATCCAAAAGCCATAGGAATGGGCACATTACATGTTCAATTGTAAAGCTGTATTCTTTTAGGAGCTTGTCTCTTGAAACTCTGAAACTTGAGTCAAAGAACTGTACATTGTATTGTCATTAAAAGTACAGGGCTGTTGAATTAAACATTATTGTTTCTTCTTTAAGGAAACCAAAAAATTATGGTTGCTTTATTTTGATAGTCCATGGCTGGTGCCCTTGGTGCAACTCAAAAGTCGGTTGGGTACTTGTCAGGCTTGAACCACAAAGAGAAATCGATTCCTTTCTTCTTAAGATCTTCAGTAGGAGGGCCAATCCGATCCAAAAGCTGCAGTTCAGTAAAAGGGTGCATCAACAACACTAAGAAACTTTTCCACACAAACAATATCCTGAATTATTTAGAACAAACCTGTCCATGAACAAGGCCATTGGAAACAAGAACAGAACGATCAAAGACTGTAAACTCTCCACCATCCATGCGAGTTACCACCCCACCAGCTTCTTCAACTATCTGTTTAAAAAATGGCCAAATATATCAGCACAACATACACCACAAAACAAGATATGCTTAAATTGGAAACAAAGCTGTCATTTTCAGACTCAATGAGTAGCCATTGCTCTAATTGAAGTAAATGCATTTATGCGTTTGTGATATATAATATAAACACCAATTTTTAGGTGCAAATTCTTTAGTTGTTCACAGAAAGGCCATGAACAGGATTCTAGTATTTTAAAACTGCTTCCTGCCATCTTAGAGGTAATCCCTATAACTAATTTTAACGAAAAATGTTAGATTACATCAATAACATGTAATGTCTGATTGAGGTAAGATTCCCTTCGAAAAAAAAGTTAAGATTACACCAAGAAAAAAAAAGCCCGATATCTAAATCTGCTGTACTCATGATTATTTATTAAAACTGATTTGGAAAGGTAATATTAAATGTTAATATTTCCATGGGAGAAAAAGTAACTACCAGGACGCCAGCAGCCATATCCCATGGCTTCAGTCGGTATTCCCAGTAAGCTTCTGTAATACCAAGTCCAACGTGGGACATGTCAGCAGCAGCAGACCCTAGCCTTCGCACTCCCTGAAACAAAAAAGGATATTCAAGGATGATAGAGAACTCAGATATGCAAATCTGCAAAAAAAAAGTAAATAAATAAATCGGTTCGGCAAACACTTACCCTGCTAATGTCAGTAAATTCCTTGAACAAATTTATATTGGTCGTCCAGGCATCGTCATGTTCATATCCAAAACCTGTGACGAGAAGAGATTGTTCCACCTAGAGAATGAGTTGACGACTATCAATTAGAGATAATAACTTCAAAACTTACATATACATTACACAGTCAGGTTATGTGACATTTAATTTGGACATCCAGAAACACATCTTATGAACGGATGCATTGAGCACATGGCCCCTGAGGCCCTGACAAATCATCGCAGCAGCAGGCTTGCACTCACAAATGAACATAATAGGAAAATGCATGGTTATTTCCAGAAGAGAAAATAGGCTACCTTGTCTGTCTGACTGACATGAATCTTTTGCCCATTACAATAAGCTCCTCCTCCTGTTTGAGAGAAAGGAAATACATAAATATGAAGTCTTTAGAGTCCTCTAGCATAAATAAGCAAAGCCAGTAGTTGATTGGAGAACCTACCAGCAGATGCAGAAATTGTACGGATGCTCCAGCACATAGGCCCACCACAAAATTCCACCTAAATAAGAAAGTGGTAAAACATAAAGTTATATAGAGAAACTGTTTCCAATATGTAGTGCAACGCCCTAATTGTTTGTGGCTCTGCCATTGGAAAGATAATATGGTTCAAGAACAATATGTTCAAACACTTACAACAGTGGAAGCAGCGGGCTTTCCACGGAAGAGAACACCAATGGACACAGAAAAGCTGGGGTAACCATGTGCAAAGTTCGTTGTTCCATCTGAAGGTTGAAATTCGGTAGATTAGATCCCAAGGGGGAGACCGTCATGTTGACTTAATTTTCTAATCAATTTCTGGTACAATAACCCGCATGCAACTACACCCTTACTGATGTGAGATATATGAATTTACTAATTCTTCTATTCCTCAATTTGCTTGTCGATGATAATACACAGGACTGATTTCTTTTTCTCGACGGGGTAATAATAGTAATACACAGAACTGTCACCTTCTAAATCAAAGAAATGGAGAATGGACTAATCTGTTCAAGTTCACAGGTTTGCTGCGATAAATCGAGAAATTGTCTGGAAAACTACTGGAGCTATCCGGTATTACAAAGTACAAACAATGGTTACAAATCAGTAGGAACTGAGTGAGGAACCAAACCTAAAGGATCAATGCACCAGAGATACTCTGACTGGGAATCTCCAATAAGGCCGCCTTCCTCCCCAAGTATGAGGTGGTCTTTGAAGTTCTTGGTGACAACTTCCAAAATGACTGATTCACTCAACTTGTCTGTGCTGAACAAAGTATAAAACAATAGATTGAAACACTATGTTGTTTCACTTTACTGCATGAAAAAGAGGCACTAATATCTTATATCTGCTATCTTATAGCAAATAAAACTAAGAACTGGTGCACAACGACAATATCAGCAAGAAGCATTCTTACTCTGTCACCAGGTCTGCAACACCTTTATATTGGATATTACGTGGCTTATTAACAGCTTCCATTATAACCTGAATTCGATAGGAGATGATGAAAAACCTTGAAATTTTGTCTCCATCAACAGTAAACCTAAAAAAAAGGACATGTTTCCTGCCTTCTAAAAATGGTGTAACCATTACAGAGCTTGAAGCATTTATTTAAATTTTAAAGCACTAGGGTATCCAACTATCAATATTTGTTTGGTATATCAAAATTCAAATGTTCTTTGACTGAAAAAAACAAATTAGCAGACTGGCCTCCTATAAGCCTATAACTGGTTAAAAGAGATAATTATGCCAGAGGCCAGAGCTACCCCTAAAACTCAATACTCCTGCAACAAGTAGTTTGCCAATTGGCACAGCATAGCGCAATTAGCAGAATGAGCGGATTCATCAACTGAACGACTAGTACTCCTTGTTGCGGTTCAACAAACGTGCAGCTTTGCGAACTCACAGACCACATTTCAACCAAACTAGTCAACAAGCTGCGACCTGCGATGCGAGTGTTACCCCAAAATCGGAAATTGGGGGAGCAGAAACATCAAGCAACAGAGGGAACTGAAACTCACATCGGCGCCAGCTTTTGCGGCGGCCTCGATGACTCCGAGCAGCTCGGCGGCGGGGATCGGGCCGGTGGTAGGGGCAGCCACCTTGGGGTACCTGGCGGCCGGCGCGGCCTGCTCCCACGCCACCGCCATGATGGGCCCCGCCTTGCTGTTCCTGGAGCCGAGCGCACGGAGGCGGAGGGGGCGTGACGTCGGCGAGTTCTTGGCGGCATCCTTGGTGAGGAGGACAGAGGAGGAGGTGGAGGTGGGGGCAAGAAGATACCGTGCCATTGGTGCTCAGAGGAAGCCAGAAAGGGCTTGATGCTTTGATTCCTCGCTTTTCTGTGCGTGCGCGCTCTACTGCAGTGTTGGGGTTGCTCTGTGCTTCCTATAAATTTCAGTGTGCTACTATCCCTTTTCAAATTATTGGTCATTTTCAGTGTGCTTTTATTTCCTTATATTTCATAGTTTTTCCTCTCTTTTTTGCAAAAATCGATGATTCGCGCATCACAAGTGTGCTACTACCCCTTTTACAATTATAATAGGTCATTTTTAGTATGTAGCTTCTGTTATATATTTACAAGCTATATCTAGATACTATTATATCTAAAGAAACCAAAACCACTAATAAATTAGAATAAACAAAATATTTTATATATTACACTCCAAGCTTAAAAAGGTTTACTAACACAGACCTTGAAACAATTTAGCGGTTAGTACTTGTGTCGCAAACTAAAATTTACATACTAAGTTAAACTTCTCTAATTTGATCGGATTTTTAAAAAATATATATATATTAACACTTATAAGTTTAAATAAATATACTATCAAAACACATTTCATAAATAATCTAATAATGTATCTTTCTTAACTTAGTAAAAATTAGAGAAGTTTATTAGAACAAAATTAAAGAAAAATATAATTTAGAATGGAGAGAATAAAAAAACATGTGATTCAATATCTTTGTTCGGCTTGTTGTATACATTCTTCCTTCATATCTGAATAAATTAATTCTTGTTTAAGTCATTTTTTATGTTTAGGCAAATTCATAGAAAAGAGCATAAGTATTCATGACATCATGTGAGCATATTATGAAAAATATTTTTATGGTGTCTCTAATAATATTAATTTGGTGTCATAAATCTTGGCGCTCTTTTCTATAAATTCAGTTAAATTTTAAAAATAATTGAAGATAATTTTATGAATTGATTTATTCACAGATAAGTTCTTATCTCCGTAAATGTTCTTAAACACGTGTTGGTTTGATTGAGAGGAAAGACATTACATGAATGTAAAGTCCCTTACACGTGATACTGACATGGATTCCTCAGGCAGTGACGATCGGCGCTTCTAAATAACTACATTTTTTTAATATAAGGAAATAACTAGTTAGTTGACGAGTGGACAAACGTGACTACGTGAGGGCAGCTTAGACCAACTCCATAAAAATATGTTCCAAAATCTATGATCTAGCCATTCTCTAAAATAAAATTGCTTCAATAAGACTGCTGCACTCCAACAGTCTTTGTATTGCTCCTTCTCTATATTTAAAACTTAAACTCGAGCTTTTTTTTTATCCAACGCACGCCATTGTTAGGATGAACCTACCCACGAGCTGGAGCAAACTCACAGCGTGGCCACCATGGATGGACTACGGCCCCGTTCACTTCGCTGGAAAAAAAATAAGCCAAAACACTGTTCCGGCTGATTTGTTGTGAGAGAAAAACACTGTTCCGGCTAAAAAAACAAGCCAAAAAATACGGATTATAAGACAAGCGAACATGGCAGCCAACTCCGATGTCGTCGTCTAGCGTCGTTGCCAAGAGGACGCGGACACGACCGAGAGGAGAGGAGCACGCCTAGGCCAAGCAGTCGCGCGGTTATAAGATAACTAGCCGAAACCCCGTGCGTTGACGTGGGTGCAACAAAGCAAGTCTGAAAGAAGTAAGCAATATAGTAGAGTTGCAAATACATTTATTTGCCAATTAGGTTACAACAACATGATTCAAAAAACGGCATGATACTGTCCAAAAGATATTTATATGGATGCAAGATTGTTCATTACATATATTGAAAGTAATAATTCCACTCTGTTGTTGTTGCTACCTTCGTAACCATCGAGAAGCATGACATTCCAATCTTATTGTAAACTAAACAATACTTGGACCTCTGTTTTTACTAAATTCACAGTAGTACCTTGTAAGCAGCAAGTGTGTGGACGACATAGTAAAGTTGAATGGTAAGATCGTTATGAAAGCCCATTTTTTGCTTTGCTAAGGAGAGTTGCAAAGATACAGGATTGGAGTATTGGGGTGGCAAGATAACCTTTTTTGGTGAAACCCAACAACAGTTGTTGAATCAGGATGTTCGGTTTCGTCGTAGAATAAGTAGTTCAGTTGTTACGCCGCCAGGGCCAGCTGGCGAGCAGATCCGCCACCAGCTAAACCTAGGCCAGCCTCCGCGGTGGTGCGGCGAGACCAGGGGAAGGGGGAGGGGGGAGGCGGAGGGGGCACTGGAGGACTGGAGGAGGGAGACTCCACAGAGCGGAGGGGGTCGTAGAAGCGCAGGGCGGTGCATTAGCATGCGGACAGCAGGAGGCTGGAGGCGGTGACTTACTAGACGTCGATGCCAAATCACAGGGCACGGAAAAGAAGGCGACGTGGTTGAAGGAGGGATCAATAAATATAAGAATAAGGGTAATGGTAAATGGTAGACTAGAGGAGCCTGCTATGTATCTGTATTCGATCTGGTTATAAGAAAATCATGATTAGATTACAAATATTCTTATATAAGCGGTTTTAAACTGATCATAGATCAGTTGGTTAGGTTCCTCGTGGTGGAACCGTTGGTTAGGTTCACCTGGGTTTAAGTCCTCGATTTGGCACGTGTGTTTATATTTTTCTGGATTTATTTCAGGATTTAACGGCGTTATGCTTTCAGTGGTAGGCGACGTCTCCATCGACAACGAGACACCAGTGATGCCTTCGTGAATCTCGAGATCTATCGGCTCAGTTCTTACAGGGTATTCATAGAGGTAGGATTTATGTACACGTGTTTATAGAGATGAGTGTACTTACGTGCCGTGGACGTCTCCATTCCGGTGTGTAATTCTAAAAAGGAGGAGCCTACTGTGTGTCCGTATTCGATCCGATTTGTCTCTATCTGCGGCATTCCATCAAAAGATAAATAAAACAAGGGTTCAACAACACACAGACACAGTGCAATACAAGGTACTACACGACAGACATGTCGGCACGTCGTCTTGCATTCTCGCAGCCTGACGATGGATTTGAATTCTTTTGCCCTCTACTCAGTTTTATTAAAAGTGTTGTTTTTTATTTTTAGACTTCTTATTACACCGTTGGTGTTATTCAAATTTTTTATATAAATAATAAAATAAATAAATCATTATTTAAGTATCTCTAATAATAAAATAAGACATAATAAAATAAATAATATTTATATAAAAATTTTAAATAAAACAAACTGTTAAATAAGAAGCCTAAAAATTAAAAACGACATTTTCAATGAGATTGGAAGGAGTATAAAGCAACATGTGTGCAGGTGTCGTCAAGTTTGCCAGGGCCGATGACGAATCGAGGCTCGTCAGACTCAGGCTCAGATCAGACACGCGCCACGAGCAGAGCTTTGGTTCCCGTTCCCGGTTCCCCATCCGTCTCGTCTTCGATCTCGTGGCGTGAATCATGAGTCGTCCCAATGGTACGCTTCTCAGCGATTTATCTACGGCATGTACCTACGGGCTCATCGTATATATACTCTTACCATCCCAAAATAAGTTTCAATATCATATTCAAAGAGTGAAACCAACGCCCTATTCGTTTTGGCTGGTTTGGCTTATAAGCCATAACTGAAAGTACTGTTGACTGGTTTGGTGTGAAAGAAAAATACTGTTCGTTTGCTAATAAGCCATGGCTTATAAGCCAAATACGACCAAACGAACAGGCTGCAAATATATATAAAAATACTAATATATGATACCGGATACACATTAGGTTAATTATGCCATATATTTTCATTGTAAATCTATTTGGAGATACAAGTTTTAATATTGTTTTTTATAAGTCTAGTTAAAGTTAAGACTGGTTAACTCCTCATAATACGTGATAGAGACTTATTTTGGGACGAAGAATATATACTTCCTCTATCTCATAAAATATAATTCTTATCTTTCGAAGAGTTAAATAGTTTTAAATTTAATTAAATCTATAAAAATACTAACATTTATAAATAATATGTATAATTAGATAACGAGAGCACCAGTGAATGGAGGAGAGCCCTCGCACCCCACCCCCTCGAGCGGCTCTGGCAGAACCTGATGACTCCCCGTCACCAGGGCCCTCCTCCCTCCTCCCTCCACCTCACCATCACCGGAGTGTGCTCCACCGAAAGGAGGACACATCTCTCCACTCTATCTTGGTGCTGGTGACATGGTCGATTGCCGGATTTGCTTGCTCTCGTTGGCTAGCCGCCCTTCCTGGTAGTCCGAGGTGACGGAGAGGCCACGTGCGGTGTCATTCTCAGACAAGCATGCGCGTGTGCGGCAATGACTTGGCACGGGTGCATCAACTCTTCGCCCCCCTCCCCCGCGCGCACGCGCGTTCACCGACAAGCGCACCAGCGGCTAGCCCACTTTCTCCACAGCAATACGAGTGCAGAAGGTTGGTTGGAGGAGGGGTGGTCAGATTTGGCAACCACTCGGTGGCTCTCTCTGTGGCTTTGTCGTGTGTGGAAGTGTCGGGTTCATAAACCCGGGGTCCCTAATGGGCCCTCTTTCCAGCAAAAGCTCAGCCCAGCAGGCGGTATTACAAACGACGCAACTCCTGGGCCGGCCCACATACCTAACAACAGGCCGGAAAGAGCGATCCAGTCTCCGACCGGAAGGCCTAGCCAAGGAGGGGACGACGCTCACTTCCGACTCCGACGGGTCACGAAGCGCTAGTTGCCTCATTCAACATGAGCAACGACCGACCGGGGTTCGAAGGCCAGCCCGTGAAGGGCTCGAGGCCGCCTCGCGTCAAACAGAGCCAGGGGAGAAAAACGCAGATGAGCCCTAGCGGCCCTCGCCCAATCTGATCAAAAGCAGACAGGGTCATCTCGACCTTCTCGTTCGATCCTAACCTCGAGCCATGCCCACAGAATCTCCATCGAGGGGAGGCCAGCGGGCCACCTGAGTCGGTCTCCGGAATGACCCGGGAATCTGCCGGGAGGCGGGTTAAGGAGCAGTGGAATACCACATGAGGGCTATGCTGATCCCGTTACGAACAACAGAC